CACGATAGATTACTCTGAACGCGGATTCTGGTCTAATTTGATGGCCTATATCCATTAGATGACCAAGAATGGCACTTCCTAAGCTCCCTGTTCCTCCTTGTCTTAACCAGTGAGGGCAGTGTTCCTTAATCCGTTGGGATAGTTGCATAGCTATGCAGCCAATGTACATTGCATTACAAACGCACCGGCAAGAGAAGATAATCATAGAAGTGGCCAGCGTAGGCAGCGTTGACTGGTTCGAATGATGGGCGAGCCTGTGAACACACACGGTAATCGAGCTGCGCTGTAGATCCGCTTCGCTGCAAGCGTCAGACGTTTGTTCAAGAGGTCCCATATAGCATGTCTTTGAAAAGGCAGATGGGTGGATGGTTTCTCCTTTTGAGCCTCATGAACCTGTTCGGATTGTGGCTTTTCCTGAAAGTTTCTCTCAATGAACCGCTCTCCGAGAAGGTCCTTACTTTTTGTTAGTTCTTCATTTGGCACATTGTCAGAGTAGATGTTGAACGCTTGTGAGACTCTGAATCAAATTTCTTGTCTGTCTGCGCGGGACGAAGCTGTAAAAGTTGGTATATTGTCCCGTTCAAGTTAGTTTTCTACGTATTGGATGCTCTAAGGAAACATCATCTTTTTGGAGGAGTGCCACGTCTACGAAGGACAATTTATCGTTTTCTTCTGTTTCCAACGTGAATTGAATCGATTTGTGAGCTTCACTGAGTATTTAGAGCAATCTTGTCGTGTTCCTACGACAGACTATGTCGTCCATGTAACGGCAGTATAGACTTATTTGCCATATTTCTTCCTGCAAAGTTGTATTTTCTAATTTGGTCATCAAGATATCTGCTAACAGTGGGCCTAATGGGGAACCCATGGCCCCTCCATCCATTTGACGGTGAATTTTCTATCCAATAGAAAGTTGACATTAAATGTTCATGTCAGTAGTATACCTTCAGATTCTTCATTGGTATTCCTACATGCATTTGTTCAGCGTCAATGTAGCAACAGAGGAAAGCGACAGTTTCTAAGAGTGTATACTTGTGAAAAAAGACGTTACATCCAAGGAGAAGATTTGATCATTCTTTACGTTCCGTTGGTTGATCGTGTTAACAAACTCAAATCGATCTAGCAAGCTGGATTTAACAAGTATTGTGCACACTGGTTTGAGAAATCCTATGAGCCGATTGACAGTACGGTGAGCTGACCATAGATAGAATTGGTCTAAATGGTATGCCAGTCTTGGGTATCTCGTAAAAGCGTGGAATGGTTGACTCATGACTGCTTGAGTGCGTCGAACACTGACTGATCTACATAGCCTTAGTCAGTTAAGGATTTGAGACTAGTCAGAATTTGATTCTCTATATATGCCATTTTTTGTCTTCATGCCGATTGTCAAATTTCATTCTTATCGGACAGCAGCTCTGACATCTTAATGTAATCGCGCCGATTCATCAGAACGACTGATCCTTTATCTGGTCTGCTTGTTATAATGCTTTTATGNAGGCACATCCAGATGTTTCCGTGTTCATGGCCCTCGAGGGCCATTCATTCAAAATTTTCCTCCGTAAAAGACAGAAACGATAGCTGTTGAATGAAATCGCAGGGTTAATCATTGTTCAAAATGAAATAAACTGTCCTTCAATAGTGTCACTTATTGCTGTTATTCTTAGAGATACCACATCCGATTATCAGAGAACTCATTTCTTTCGCGTTGAAGTTTCCTTAATTACCGAAAATGCCTATAAGTACTTTTACTACATAGTCCACTATTCAATTTCGTCACCGTATTATTGCCTCGAAATTTGCAGTGTTACTTGAAGCTGTTTTTCTTTCGGTCTTCATGCTTTCGTTAATTCTGACTATTTTCCTGTGCTTTGGAGTGCGTTGTGTTATGCTAATCTCTGTTTGCAATATGATGACACGATTGCGGTCTAAATGTTTCTTCAGTTGAAGCATATGCCGCGTCCTCTAATTGTGTCATTGGTCTATAGATGATAGCACTTGAACTTCTGTCTAGGGCCTCCATGCAAAAAAAACAGTACGATTTACAGACATTTTCTTTAGGTGTTTAAAGAGGTTTTTGCTCTTGGTTGTTATGACATGATGTAAACGAACTTTTTCGGTTTTGTTTTTCGTTGTGAGTTTGACAACTATTTGTTACGATAAATTTCTACTCATCGCTTTCTGGACATATGACAGACAGCGGCGGTCTTGTGTCATTTAGGATGCTTAAGCGAGGGGATTCAAGTTGATAGGATCCCTTGACCACTTCTGTTTTATTCACTCCCATCGTCAATTAGGCAATCTGGTTGTATCAGCCTCTCTGTTTACTTTACTCTTTCATCTTATTCATACACAAAACAAGCCCACTCTCCTTAGCCGAACGTATCTCCAATGCATAATCTTAGTTTGTCTCGCCACCCAACCGGTCTCAGTTTTCGCTCCACCCCATTCTGTCTGGCCAGGAGAATCATCCTGGAAACAGTCTTTGCCGAATGACAGGCAGAAGGGCTTTTAAAGACGCTTTGTGTTTGACATGGTGCACCACTTTCCATGCCAGTTCCCTTTTACGGATGTGTGTGTTACAAGTCAGATGGAGGGAAAACACGTTCTGTGTAGAACGTTTTTACGAATTGTGACTGAGTCAGGCTAGATAAGTACATGACATTTAGAGACAGTTTTCATGTGCGACTCTTCAAAATGTGTGCATTCAGGTCAATCCCAAATCCTTGTGTGTGCGATACCTCTGAGAGGAGCAATTGTTTTACCGGTAGGTGTATTATTTTTGTCCACAGTAGCTTTGTCATACGAAGTCAAGGTGCTACTTATCACAATAGTGAGATAAATGCAAATGAGCTGTGGGGCATTTAATTTGATCAAGCGATAACTTTCATGGGATACGCAACGCAAAGAACGTCATATATATATATATTGCTATCCGAAGCACCTAATTCTTTTTAATTTTCCAGGATAAATTACCCATCAAGGATGAATGTTATTGTTGTTCTAGTGTTAAACCAACAGCATTGGGCTTGTTTTCTCCGACAAAGGGACTCATCTATCCGCACAGGAGGGAGTAAAGCCAGGTTGACTTTGTGTTGTCATTTGGCTTAGTAAAGCGGTAACAGATGACACATGCGTAATGCATTTGGTATAAGAGTTGGCCACTGTGCATCCGAAATGTGTGCGTGATTCTTCACTGTATTCACTTGAGTTTGAGTATCAAAATGTTTGAAATTTGCTTTGTTTTTCCTAGTGACAATTTGAGTTACCAAAGCCCATTGAGTGGTTCGCCGTTATCATGTCTTTGGATGTCATCAGCAGTTACTGTTTCGCATTCCCAACTTGGGATTCTGTGTCTCACTAGTTGTTTACCTGTAGCATTTATATATAGTACTGATGAAAAACTAGAGTCTTGTTACTGAACGAATAAGGATTACCAAAATTTGAAACCTCTTCTCCGCAGTACCGTGTAATATTTCACCATACTTGTCATACATTATAGAAGCACTCTGCTTGTATCTTCTCCGTTTCGATCACCTTTAGCGCCATTAACTGTTTCTTTATGTCGGTCGGCGGTCGTGCAGTCCGCTCAAACTAGGATGTTCCTCCGTGATGCCTGTTCAAATCGTATTAATAGCACTGCTGTACTTTATCCCCCCCCCTCAGAGAAACCTGCAGTGATAAAGATGCCACGTAGAGCTTGTGCTGAATTTTC